TCTTCCTTCTCTCTCATGTAGGACCTTCAGAGAACCGTTACACAAATAGACCCACAGAATACCAAGGTCCTCACCTTTATCACTTACATAGGCTGTGGGATATCTGCTATATTTTCAGCTGCAACTCTTCTGACATATATTGCATTTGAGTAAGTACAATTTCTGTGAAAACCACCACAACAGAAGTACCTGTATGGGATGAATAAAATAAATTAGTTATATGGTTGCTGTGGTTTATTTGTCTAGGAAGGGAAATCTGTGTTTAAAAAATAACAACTGCAAAATCATCATTACAATGTTGTAAGTGGAAATTTTTTTTCAAGGAGACATGAGTTGAGACTCTCCTCTTATTTCCAACATATTGTGTTGCTCAGGCTTGGCAACAATGCTAATGTGTCTCAAAATTTTCTCATTGGGGAGTACAGTATCCTCTAGATTCTAAACAGATATGTATTATTTTAAAATCCTCAACCAGGCTTTTTTTAAAAAACAAACAAGCAAAAAATACTTTCCTCTGTGAGTGTAACAAGTCCTAAGTATAAAAAGAGAAAGTTCCAACTAGAACAATTACATTCTAGAGACCTTCAGAAAGAAGCTGGAAGATAAATAAATTTAAGATAAATTGTGTAGTGTTACAACAATTTCAATAGCAGTCCTACTGAAATACGGAAGTCAATCAAGGCAGTGCAAAAGTTTTGAAGTAATGCAGTTCTGTGAACAGTGAAAAGAGAAAATGAAGTCATTTCAACACAAAGGAACCATTCTGCCTGTAAGAGGACAGGAAAGAGTAGCTGCTAAAGAAGGATAGTTTGCTAGGGGAGAAGGCAGGGGAAAGACAGTTTTCAAGTTCTGAATATCTCTAATGATTGTGTTCCTATTACATTACCTATGGTATAATGTTTTGGTCCAAGATGGCAGAAATTGCTGGCTTGCCCCTTGGTTCACACATTTCAATGTGTATCAGTTAAAAAACAAAATTTACTTGATCTTTCATCTTCCTAAGATCCTATTAAAAAAACAAACAATCCCCCCCCCAAAAAAAAAAACAAAAAAAAACAACAAAAACCCAGCAAGCACTGGACAACATACTCCAAAAATTAAGCAAAGATTAACATATAAAATTATCAGAGATGAGCTTCTGGCCACCTGTGTTTTGAAAGCTTTTTTAAAAAAAATGTCTTCAATTTTCATTTAAAGTACAAACCACATTGCATTATATTTAATTTAAAAGGTTTTTAGTAATAAATCAGTTGCTAAAATATCGTGACAGTTAATTAGCTCATTAAGGTCCCAAAGAAGTGCTGGCTTTCCCCCACCACATACAACAGAAGCCTTCAGTAATATGACACAGAAGTACACATCACTGTGCCTTATTGCCACAAAAGCTTATGGCTAAGAGGAAATCCCTGTGCTTTTATTTACTTTGTAAACTGGTAAACCCAACTGCTGTAAGCAGCTTGGGTGATTGAAACCAATTAATCATATGCACCTGTATTTCTCTCATTAGGAAGTTGCGAAGAGATTATCCATCCAAAATCCTGATGAATTTGAGCACAGCTCTGCTCTTTCTTAATCTGATCTTCTTGCTTGATGGTTGGATTGCATCATTTGACATAGATGGCCTCTGCATAGCTGTGGCTGCACTTTTGCACTTTTTTCTTCTGGCCACCTTTACGTGGATGGGACTAGAAGCTGTTCATATGTACATTGCTCTAGTGAAAGTGTTCAACACCTATATTCGGCGATACATACTGAAGTTTTGCATCATTGGCTGGGGTGAGTTCAGTAGATGCAGTATTTACATAGCACGTATTTTGAAATAATGCTATATAAAAGCTCTCTATCACGAATGCAGAGCAGAATCAAAATCAGCGTGGCGTTTCCTTCCTCCTGCCCCATGGCAGTGCTGTTGTGCCTCCAGCCCTCTCTGTCACTGAGTTCCCCTCTATAATTCTGTGCAAATACATCATTACTTGCACTCTTCACCTGGAGCAGCTCACAACCCAAGGAGGAGTGGAGAGACCAGATACACTGGTCTTACTTTCCAGAGAGACCAGAATGGGAGAGGGGAAATGTTAGTGTCATATCAAAGGTGGAGAATTGTGGCGCACAATGAATTCAGAAACTCATGGAGTTACTACAAAGCTTGTGGGGATCTTTGCATTGGCTTTCAAAAAGGTTTCAATCCAGCTTGAAGTTTCTTGCTAACAAGTACAAAGCCCATGGCAGAATCAGAAACAGCGAAAATATCCTGAAATGGAAAATAGAATACTGAAAAATAACTGTGAGGCTGAGGCAGCAAGACTTTTATTCTTAATTTTTTTCTATATCAGGAATCTGTGCCTTCTGTCTGAATGCACATATTGTGTTTGAAATAATACAACACAATACAAAGCCATTAACCTCATGGCTAGAGCACTGACCTCAGTCCAACTGATAATTGATGTCTTTCCATTGGCAACTAGCATCCTCTTTGGCAACCTCAGCAGAGGACAAGGACTGAGTGGTCGGAAAAGCAAATTAACCTCTTCCCCTTTGAATCTGTTTTGTCACAGCAAGGATAAGACATGTAAATAAGGCATGTCAGGAAACATACATTTCTTTTGTGTGAGCTGCACCTCTCTGCACAGAGTTCTCTTCTGCATAATCATCTGTTATTTTCCCAAAATATTCCCTTTACATTATTATGAAAAATATATGGTTGACTTCATTTTTTTTTTGACACATTTAAGTAAAGGATATATAGTGCTGTGGAAAAGAAGAAGACATTAACAGTTGAGAGAAGCAGTGGAGAAATTACAGGTTTAAGTTCAAGTTCCCCAGCCTTATCAAGTGCCATTTTCTAAAAAAAAAAAAAATCCCTGAAAAAGCATACCAATACCATCCCTCCATTAGATCTCATTTTTGTAATAAGCTGTTAATCTTCTTCTCACCTTATTATGAGAGCCTGTGTGCAATTGCAAATTTAAGTTTGAGTAATTAAGGGAGATTTCTATTTTAGTTCCTGTATCAAATACTAAAATAACGTTTTCTACATTACAGAACATTATGAGGTTTGTTCATTAATGCCCATTAAGTACTTTGAAAGTTTTATATGTTTGTACTGTTTGAAAGATAGTGTCTTTCTAATTCTCTGTGCAGTTTTCTGACACAGAACTACCTCCAGACACTCAGTACTAAAGCAGTAGGGATGGAGACATCAATAATTCAGCTTTGCCTGGTGATTTTGAAGGTTTAGGAGCTTTGAAAGCAAACTACAAGTTTTCTTGTATTACAGGTTTGCCAGCTCTGGTGATAGCGATTGTTTTAGCAAGTGCTAATACAAATGCAAGTCATATTTATGGCAAAGAGTTATATGGCAAAGATGTTAATGGACAAGGAGGAGATGACTTGTGAGTATTTCTTTTAATCTCTTACAATTTAGCATTTACAGTCTGAAAAAAAAATAGCATTGGTCAGATTGCTTTGGAAAAGTCAGAGGTGCATTAAACAGGCAAAGTGGACAAAATCGTCTTCTAAATTATTTGGATCTGAAGTGTGAAGAAGGCTATACGAAAAATTGGAGGCAAATCTGCATTACCCAATACCAGGTACAAATGCTTCTCTGGTAAAAGTATAATTCATGAGTTTTGTAATGAAAATGAAATAAAAGTACTCGTTTTGGTTTATCTTAAGTGAAAGCTATATCTTCTAGGTAAGAGCAAAGAAAGAAGTAATATAAAAATAGTCTCCTTTGTAAATAAACCAGCCTTTTGCCAATGTCATTCATTAGCTTTCTCTGTTCTTCTCTTGATGTCCAGATAATAATCTCTAAATGCCAAAATTTCAATATGACTTTTACTTAATTTTCTTTGCCTGGCAAAGCTTCATCATGATAAATAAAAATGTCATTCTGTATTTTTATTAAAGTATCATGTTAAGCATTCTGGCCATTTGCTGCTCAAGGAATAAACTAGATCTCTCACATGGCTCACTGTCAAATGACTACCTCAAAGGACCACCCATCCTGCTTCTTCTCCAGAGCTGTATGAGTTCTCCTTTAGCTCAAGTGGCAGAAACTTGAGATTTTGGCACTGAAGATCCAAATTTGCCCATTTTGTTACTAAAGCGTCCTATGCTTCACACAGATGAAAGTGCTGAAGCAACTCACACTGAGTCTAAATTTTCCATGATGGGATTGCAGTTCCCACAGCTTCAGATTTCCTTTTTAGATGCTTTTAACTAAAATGTGTGACAACCCTCAGATTTCTGATGTAATACTACTATGTGCCATAGTCACACTTAAGATACCACCAGGCTTTAACATATTTACAAGCAGAAAATGGACAAAGGTTTCATTTGAAATCTGTGCATCGGTGGAATCAGTCATAGACTGATTTTCCTTGTAGTCATGTAAATAATTGAAGAATAGTTTCCTTTATCTCTTTATCTAAAATGATAATATTTTTGTGTTTTTTGCAGCTGCTGGATCAAGAATGAAGTTGTCTTTTATGTGACTTGTGCTGGCTACTTTGGAATCATGTTTCTGATGAACGTTGCCATGTTTATTGTTGTAATGGTGCAGATCTGTGGGAGAAATGGGAAAAGAACTAATCGGAGCCTGAAGGAGGAGATCCTGAGGAACCTCCGTAGCGTAGTCAGCCTGACCTTCCTCTTGGGCATGACATGGGGCTTTGCCTTTTTTGCCTGGGGCCCCTTAACTCTTCCTTTCCTGTACCTCTTCTCCATTTTCAATTCATTGCAAGGTAAGCTGAATTTCTGGTCTGTGAACAAATAATATTTGAGTTGTTGCTGTTCTGGGACATACTGTGTCCAGTGATTTCCCTAGGTAACTCAGATCCAAGCTCTCTGGATCTTCCCTTGACACTAAATCGTCATTAGTTTCCCTTATGTGGAATAATGATACCAACTATACATGGGTTGAATAGCTTTGCTAAATTAATTAGTTTCAAGTTCTTTTCAATAATATGCACTTTATTATGAACAGTACTATTCCTAACTAACAGTCTGCAGTGAGTTCTGTGGAGATAGATGCTGTATGACCTTCAATATTTCCTTTCACTGATTATAACAAATATAGGAAGCCTCTTTCCTTAACTTATTCCTGTAGGGAATCTGCAAATCTCATAACTATTTTATGAAGGCATTAGAAGGTCATAAACCAGAATTCAGTCCTGTTTCACTGCAAACAGATAGCGCAAGAGATATGGGATATTGTTTGGTTCTTTAAGGAAAAACCATCAACTCTTGTAGTCAGCTTATTTTTATTTATTTCCTTTACTGAAGTTTTCCATATTTTTCTTTTCCAAAGCAGTTCATCCTTCTGAAAAATGCTATAAGATGTAATCAAATGGTTATAAATTGCACAAGTATATAGCTCAGAGGTGAAATTTTGTGTATGTACCAAATGACATAAAAATCTCCAGCTCCACTTGTCCTAACTGCTAATAAAGAACAACTGAAAACATAACAAAAAGAAAAACCCAAGAAGGTCATTGGAGAGGCATGTGTTATACCACACACATATTGAGACAAAAAATAAATTTGCCTGAAAAAAATCATAACAAACAAACCCAAGAATGTCACTGGAGGAGTGTGTGTTGTGCCACACAAATATTGAGATAAAACACAAATTTCCCAGGGTCAACGAAATATCTTATTTTTATGGAAAAAGTACTTAATGTTACACTGTGTGGATCTTATCTGTTACCGTTGAGATATGTTTACTATACTAAAAGATTTATTGAGCTTTCATGGAAAGAGAATAATGTTGTGGGGTTTGGTTTGGTCCAGTTTCAACCTAAAATGCTAGGCAAAATGGCAAAAATTGTTTGGATCTGGTGTTCTTACTAAAGACTTTTTTTCCAAGGGACAGATTCTGATACTCCCCTAGCAGCATAATGAAGTATTTGCTGCAATGTGTCCGTGTTAGAAATTCAGAAGGGCCTAGAGAGATTGGGTATGGGAAGAACATGAAAAAACATGATTAAAACTCTGAAAAGTAAACCAAGGATCAAATTCAACAAGTTCTCTGTAACCAGAATTTCCAGTGCAATCAATTAAGCTTGTTCCTGCAGAGTGCACACAAGGTTGACCACCATTGCTTAAGTCTCTGTGGGGTAATAGCACTATTCAATGGAAAATGAATATTTGGAAGGCCGTTAAGGCAGAAGATGAAACTGAAAGCCTGAGGAGTAAATGCAAAAAGAAAAGTGATGAGCTTTTCACAGATTGTGGTAGCAAAGATGGTACAGTGTGTGTTCAGGCCTGTTATATCAAGCACAGGAATATAACAATCCTGTATCTGAAAATGCTTATTGCTGTCAGAAAGAGATAGGCAAAGCTAAAGAAACAAGAAAGTGGATATTTAAAATCGCATACAACTGCCATAGTGCACGTGTAGCAGTAAGGAGGTGGTGTGGAACAAAAAAAAATTTAGATTTGTATCAGGAAGCATTTTGTAAGAGCAAAAGCAGTGAAGTCTGGCAAGTCTTTCATCATTATTAGCATGATCTTAATTATTGAGCCCTCAGTAAATACATTTATTCTCTCTCACAAGATTTTGAAAACTGCAACTGGTTTATGCTATACCACCAGCCTCCATCAACCTAGTTTTCTGTGCACTGGCAGGGAAAAATTAAATTGCAGCAACTACTGGTGTTAGTGTACTTTGCTATTTCATCTACATAGGAAATGATTTTTCTCTCTGACACTAAGAGTAAAAAATCTAGGAACATCTCTTTTTTGGCTGCTCATTTTATATATACGCCTGGGCAAGCCAAATACTTTCATGTCAAAGCCAAGCTAGAGCCAAGCCTAGGGTCTGATTTGGCTTGGGGAAACAAAACCAAAGCTGTATTACTAAAGCACATTGTAAACTTAATGAATAATGAAATACAGAGAAAAAAAAACAAACAAACAAAAAAAAAAAACAGAGGCTAAGCCCAGACAGGGCAAAGGCAAAGTACTTAATGTAGTACATTTGGTTTTTATTACTATAGACTTACGCATTTACTTTTTTAACCATTCAGAATGTTCCAAACATTCACCAATTAAACTTCAATTTAATTAAACTTCAATTTAGTAAGTTTTGTAGCTATACAGAAGTCAAAAGAGGTACTTTAGGCCACAAACAAATGCATAACTCTAAGCATTTAAGAGCTGCTAGTGACTGCATTGAAATTACTTTGTACTTAAAACAAATCACACACAGAAGTATTTTACTAAATGCAAACATAGTAACCATAATTCAACAGAGCTTGAATATGGGATGCACTAAGGTATGTTTATCTTCCTTAAATTGTGCTTCTCCTTTTTTTCCCCCATTAGCTCTTGAAAAAATTTGCAAAAAATGTGTTTCGTGACAAACCCTGTTTGCCCACATTATGTATCATTTCTTCATGTTTAAGATATAACCATGAGGGATTTGGCAGTAACATTTTACCATCAGGTGTTCAGGCTCAGATTGGCTCTCTTCCAGTGCATAAGAGTAAAACAAGAACAGGCCAAGCCAGAGAATGCCAGAAGATTCAACAGCCGGTGCCTGCCTGGGAAGTGCCAGGAGCATGTGAAATTTCCAACTTCTATATTTAGCTCTAAAGTATCTCTGTAGAATGATAAAATCATACCATACACCCAGTTACGACCTTCTTTACCACATGATAGATGCTTATCTTCTGTCTTGAAAATAAAGATTATACAATCATATGAGAAATATGAACTTTACAAAAACATTCTTAAACACATCTATTGCGACTGCATGCGCAAACCAGGTAATTTTCTTCAGAAGTAAGTAGCTGTACACCTCATTAGTACTTGTGAACATATTCTTACCATTTTCATAATCATTTCAAGTATGTGCATGTGGTGTACACACATCCAAGTGTGCTTTTTCAGAGCACACTCTTTAGTGCCAATTACAAGACTTCTGGTTTTAAAAGAACACAGCTCACAATTCTGTAGATGTGGAACAGGAGGAGATAAAGTATCTTCTTGCTAGTATAAAAGTGTCTGTATTTAGTTTGCATTCTGGCTTTTGCTGTTGCAAAATATTCTTTTGGTTCAAAGACAAAACCTTTTAATTATTTTCCTCTAAGTCAAAAAATATAAAAGATCCATACTGAGGTGGATCTAAATCAGTCATGTCAATAAAAGGGGTCCTATTCTCTCTCTCCTAATATACCAAGCACTTACATAGCAGCTAGAGGATGGGAAAGCTTCAATTAATTTCCATACCTCTCAAATGAGGCATAGATGACAATAAGAAAACTTTAAGATTCTTTTCCTTTGCTTGTATCTTGTAGTCTTTTGCTAGCTGATTTTAGTTAATCTATTTGTCTATTTATAAATACATGCTTCATTTGATGTTTACTTGCTTTTGTCACAGGTTTATTTATATTTGTATTCCATTGTGCTATGAAAGAAAATGTACAGAAACAATGGAGGAGACATCTCTGTTGTGGCAGATTCCGACTGGCAGACAATTCAGGTAAAAGCAATACACAGCTCCCCTGCTTAGATGCAGCAGTAGTCCATAAAAGTCCAGGTGAACAGCTTGCTAAGTTATTTTTAATATAATGTAAGCCAGAGATGTGGAAAAATAGGTTAATCATAGGCTGTCACTTCACTTCAGTACTAACAATTGCCAAGGGACTTTTCAGATATCACTTCATAAAAATTCTCAAGTCTTCTCTTTCAGTTTTCTGCTGAAGGCAGCTGGTAAATTCTGTGGTGCTGTAAGTGTGGCTTTGGAAGGCCTTTTGGACCCCCCTGCCCCGCTCCCTTCCCTGCCCCCC